AGGATTTGAACCCACGTATCCGATTTCTAAGCCTGTGCTCTTCTCTCCTAAGTTAGGCCATGCCCTATTCGGGTTCTGCTTCATCTTACCAAGCTTCTCTGCCCTGCTCCTTATGTGGACATTACAGTTCAGCCCCATCCATGCACCTTGTCCTTTCTATCTCCTAGACCGGCTCCTCTACCTGGCACGCCCCCTCACCCTGACCTCCAACAATGGCCTTCTAGGCTGACTCATTGTGCCAAAAAAGACATTTCCCTCTTCTGGGCCCCCTTGGCACTTTGTTTACCTTAGTGTTTCTCCAAATATATCCCCGGGCCGGCAGCATCAGCATGAGATCCCACCTCATACCTGCTGAATCAGAAACTCTGGGCATTGGGCCCACCACCTGTTTTAACAAGCCCTCCAAGGGATTCTGGTGCCCACTTAAACTTGAGAACCATTGGGCTACCCCCTTGCTTCTCCAGACCCCATCAGTCTTGGGGATAGCTAAGGGTAAGGTTAGCTCTTGTTGTAGTCTTTGACACCTGAGCCCACCCCATCGGGTATATTTAATGAGGTCCTGAGTGGTTAATAATGAAGTGGGTGAGGGCCGGCTGAGTGGCTCAGTTGGTTAAGAGCTCGCTCAAGAGTTTGAGCTCTGAGCAACAGCGGTTCGAGTCCAGCCTGAGCTGAGCAGCCACTGAGCTGCCAATAGGTAGCAGGATGGCTCAGCTAAAAAAAAAAAAAAAAAAAAGTAAAAAAAATAATGAAGTGGGTGAGCTTTTTTTGGCCTCTGCTGCCGCTTTCCACTCTACTACTAGGCATCTTGTTCTGGAACAGCTAACAAAAGTGATAATTGGGCACTATCACCACTACCTTGCAGAGCCAGCTTCAATACCTTCAACTACTGCCTCCCCACCTCAGACTGGACCTGAGCTCCATCAAAGTCACCAGGTACCATCAGTGTGCCAGCCTCAAAAAGTCTACAGGCTTTGTTGCTGAACTATTATACTACTTGGCTCCCTCCCGGCCTCCTCCTTGAGGTGTCTCACCACAGCCCAAAGCCCATAGCCCAGTCCTGGCCCAGGGGATGCCTTCCCAAATCCATTTGTCAGTCAACGCCACCCTTACTGATGAAATCTCTATCTCTAATTATGGTATTGTCTATTTCTCCTTTTAATTCTGTCCATTTTTGCTTCATGGGATTGAAGCACTGTTACTAGTTGCAAAAATGGTTATGAGTGTATTCCCTTCCTGATGAATTGACCCATCGACCATTATAAAATGTCCCTCTTTATCCCTTTGTCTTGAAGCCTATTTTATCTGATATTAATATAGCCTCTCCAGCTTTTGAATGTATATCATTTTTCATCCATTTATTTTCAACTTATCTGTGTCTTTGTATTTAAAGTACATCTCTTATAGACTGCATATAGTTAGGCTTTTTAAATCTATTATAACAATCTCTGCCTTTTAATTGAAATGTTTAGTCCATTAACATTTAATGTAATTATTGATATGGTTGAATTTAGATTTATTTGCCCCCTCTGTTTTCTATTTCTCTGCTTCTCCTTCCCTGCCTTCTTTTGGATTTTTAGAATTCCATTTAAATTTATATATTGGATTTGTAGCTATACCTCTCTGCATTAATTTTTTAATGATTGCCCCAGGGTTACAATATACATCCTTAACTTTTCACAGTCTACTTAAGGTTACTATTTCAAGTAAAATGTATAAACCTTGCAACCACAGAGGTCCATTACTCCCTACCCCCATCTTTTATGTTATAGTTATCATATGTATTTCATCTACATACATTATAAAAGCCACAAGGCAATGTTATAATTTTTGCTTCAAACAGTCATGTGAACTTTAGAGCAATTAACAGGGCTTATTGCCAAAGGGAACCTCAAAATTAAGGGAGGCCCTTCTTAGGAAGCTGATTCAGCTCATTGTTAGAAAAGGGAACCTGGATCTTTCAACATTGAAGGTAAGTTCTAGGTTCACAGGGCAGAACCACAGCTAATTCATCCTTTATCTTGTCTTTACTAGTCTTCACCGAGTCTCCTGAGACTTGATCATCAGACCCAAAGTCCTTTTCACTGTTTCCTAGAGGTCCTTGGGCATTCAGACATGATAACCCAGCACTTCCAGGGTGATTATACAGAGGAAGCCTCAGCAGTGTCCTATATCCTCTACATCTCTCATAAGAGGCACTTTCTCTCATGTTATTACTAGTTGTGCTTTTTTTTCTCACCTCCTCCTAGGTTATAAATCCTGAAGGTAAGAAATCTGGTCTTATGCATAGTAGGTACTCAGACAACTTTGCTGAACAAACAAGTGAACCCCAAATGGATTTCCTGGCACCTCTGAGGACACTTGGGCAGAGAAAGGTAAGTGTGTCAGTAAGAGAAGGAGATCCACATGTGTCTGTTCCTGGATTGGTGGGAAACCATTTCCAGGGGCAGGGGGTATAGCCAAAAACATCACTGTGGATTGATGGGAGCGCAGAAAGCCTGGGTTTAACTCTGATGAAATGTTAATGTGGGAGCTGAGAATGTGAAGACTGCAAAGTGGAACAGGGGAGGCTACCAGGCCAGGATATGTGGGTGGGACCAGGATTTCTAGCACGCTCACGTGTACCTGAAGGAAGTGTGTGCTGGGCCACCCAGAGCTGCTGACACTGCAGCCTGGAGGGCTGAAACTTTTTAGAGAAACCATTCGTCTAGTGACAGGGAGAATAAAAGCCGCCAGGGCCAGGGTAAGCACAGGGCTGGCCCACAGGGCTGCCGGCCACACCATAAGGGAGGCAAAGGGTAGTAATTCATCGGAGTACTTTCAGGGGACACGGCAAGTCAGAGTTCAAGGGGATGGAAAAGAAAGCTGGTCAGAAAAGGTTCCTTTGTCCTGGGACTAAGGGGCCTGGGAGTATAGTTTCACCTAAGCCTCAGGAGGAAGAAGGGTGTCCCGGTGAGACAGGGTGTCTCAGGGTCAGGATGAAGGAGCAAGGCAAGATTGGAAGGAGGTGAAACCAGAAGTGCCTCTGAAGCATGCCCTCCGCCCACACCAAACTAACTGAATAACATGAGACCTGCAATACCTAATTTCATCTGAAATGTGATAATCGAGTAATGAGGCCGATTTTTGCATGTGGCTTGTAGAAAAGCTGAGAAGGAGGAGAGGTGGAACAGGAACAAGCCGCAGCACGTTTCAGCCTTTAAGAGCCAGTTAGCCAGTCTGCCGGGCGTTGCCAGCTGGGGTGAATGAAATGCCTGTTGTTTCAAGGCAGGGGGAAAATGAGTGACCGTTATTTAGAGTAAGGAATTTATATCCAACATGGTGTGAGGTTAAACAAATCTTCGGGTATAACTTGACCTGTTATAATAACCTTAAGTGTTTGGGGCCTACACCAGAAGGGGAAGGGAAGATATGAGTGCTCATGAGAACCTACTGTGTGCACAGTCCCATGGCAAGCTGGCTGCCAGTGGAGGGAGACACTAGAACTCACTGAAAGACTCAGGGCATTGCAGGATTTTTAGGTTGCTGGAATTTTCCTATTTTACAATACAGAGTGGCTGGCTCTTTAACGCATTAAACTTTTTCCTAACACCACATGGTATGCATGATTACAAAAAGACAGTGCGAGGCCCTCCATTAGGTTCCTGGGGATTCTAGCCAAGAGGAGTGTGAACTCTAAGCCCAACCCCCTCCCCAAAAGGAAATGTCTGAGTATTTGAAAATGCACTTCTTCCAGTCCAGCGTAGCTGCAGCTTCCTTGCCTACATCCAAGGTGACTCCCATCTCTAGTTGATTAAGAGCCTGCACAGACTGGATCTTGGAAGAATTCAAAGCAGTTTCAAATAACTCCAGAAGGCCTTCTCCGAAAGGGGAATTGGAGGCCACTGCCCCAAACCTTCCTTTCCCATGACGATCTCTTGGTTCATCAACAAACCTTGTCAGCTCTTTCTTGACTGGGTAACTATCCAATCTGTAAGGTGACCCTGCTTCTCTGCCCAGTACAGGAGGCAGCAGGGCGTATCCCAAGACTTTATGAATTGGGTTGCTTACCCTGTGGGGGAAATCTGAATGCAGCAAGGTCCCCGGTCAGGATCAATTGGTCAGGATGTCCCTTTCTGGACTCTACAATGTCAAAGGTTCTGCCTGGACACTGGAAGTTTAAGCAAGTCCATCCTGGCTGAATCTCTGAAGTGGGGACTTTAAAACAAAGGATTTACTGACTCCCCAGTAAATCACCAAATCAGAGAAAGAGTCAACTACAACTTTATTAAACGACTAAAGTAAGCGTTTTGTCTAATTACAGGTGTAAGGCATGGTTGTCTTTCTGGCCTCAGCTGCCCATCCCTGATCCTCTGGCACAGGTAGGTGAGCCTCATGCTGCCTCTGGATGTCGATCATCTCTCCATGTTGTCAGTTTCTGTCTTCTTCATCTGCCCATGTTGCCTGGTGCCTGGAGACCCCATTTCTATTTTCTTAATACCTGGTGATTATATTGCAATGCTTGGCTGCAGAATTGGCACAAAGCTCATGAGAGCTTTTCTACTGCCAATTCTCACCCACATCTCTCATCACATCACTCTCTGCTGGCTTGCCCTCTGCTCTCTCCACAGTCACCATGCTGGCCTTATTCCCCTGAGCTCCTACAGGCAGCGTCTCTCAATGCCCACTCTCAAGGCTTTGGTCAGACTCAGCCTCCTTCAGGCCCAGCCTGCCTGGTAGCCCTCGTCTGCCGTGGTTCGAGTCACGGCCATTGCTGCACAAAGCCTCTTTGTGACAGAGCCCTTCTGCCAAGCTTGGTGGTCAGGGCTGATAGTTGTTTTAATACCTGTATTCTTATTTGGACACATGCGTACTTATATTTTGTTGTCATTATTTATCTGTCCTGCAATCACAGTTACTCGTATATACCTATTGCTTTCTGATTGGTCTATTGGCAAAATATTCTTTCGGCGTAGGATTATCGCAATGAACATCATAATTACTCTGAGCCACTAATTCATAAGTGTTTTCACTAGTACTTTAATAGTTAACCAAATATTAATATATTTTGTTTAATAATTAGAATGATTAATAATGATTGATTATTAAAATGTCATCATCAGTCTGGGCCTCCGTTCAACTCCCTGAGGGCTTTGCCCTGCTCTTGCAAGTGGCACCTGTGACTACTGGTCACACGTGGAACTCTGACCCCTGGAGTAGCGGGGGCCTTTTATTTCTTGTTTGTCACTGAATGTTCATATTTTGCCTTAGTATCCGCTGCTTCCTGTGCCTCCTCTCCTTGACTCTCCTGATGTCACATGACCACTGGGAGCGCCCACACATGCGTGTCACACAGGGGTAGGTCAATGGGTGACTCCTGGAAAACAAAGGGGGAAAATGAGAAATGCTCAATGTTTCCGAAGGCTTGTTAGTGTGAAAACTCCACGGTCCCATTATATTTTCACTGTGTATGAGGGTGGGCCATCTTCACAGGCTCATACATTAGCATACCACCTAAGGTTTCTGGGCTCTGGAAGAGGGCTTGGGACAGGCTTCCAGAGAGTATACAGCACTGGCTTTGATAATCTCACATCCTTCCTGCCAGGTACTCAAGGTAGATATTGTCCCCGTTTATAGAAAAGGAAACTGAGGCCTAGAGAGATTACGTGACTTGCCTCCCGCCACAGCTGAAGGAACTGGGAGAAAAATATGGGTCTTCTGTCTCTTCAGCCAGGAGTTTTCTGGGGAGATGTTTGGCTGGTTCCCAACAGCTCTAAGGAGTGGGAGAGGCAAAAGTCACACCAGCTAAGTGGATTTGGGGCAGTGACAAAGGAACTCCCTTTGCTTTCCAGCGGCTACTAATAGGAGCGGGGGCGGGGCTTAGCTGGGTAAGGGAAGAGCGGATGGAATCACTTGCAAAACCCTAATAAATCTGCAGGCCCAGCTGTTCCTCATCTGATGATCCTGAAGGGAAAGTGTGAAATAGTAGAGATGCTGATGGGCCTGGGGGGCCCCTTCAAAGGCAACCTAGTTTTCCCAAGGACCCAGAGCAGGGGTGGAAAGTGTCCGGAAACGTCTGAAGGGTGTTTGTTGGAGTTGGGAGGCCTGGGCCCCCAGAGGCCATCTGCACACATGGAGTGTGCCTGGGAATGCCTGGAGCCTGGAAGTTCTGAAAGGGTGGTCAAGTCTTTGTCTCCCAGAGCGCAAGATCAAGGCTGGGAGAGCTGGGAGTTTGAATCCCAGCTCCACGGTTTACTGGCTGTGTGAGCCTGAGTGGGATATTTAACCTCTCTGAACTTCATTTTTGTCACATGTAAAATGAGGATAATAATCCTCCCTCCCTTGGGGTGGCGTGAAGATTAAATGTGCTAATGTATGTAAAGCTCCTGGCACGTGACACTGCTCAATCCAGGTTCTTTCCCTTTCCTTCCCTTTCCTCCAGTCTCCTACCCCAGGGAATTAGGAAGTGGCTGGGCCACACTCACGCCTGAGGCCAAGCCCAGGGAGGAGGAGGAGGAGGAGGAGGAGGAGGAGGAGGAGCACACACACACACACACACACACACACACACACACACACACACTCCCCCACCCTCCTACTCCCCACCCACCTCAGGCACTCACAGCTGGGTGTGGTTGGGGTGCGTCTTGCAGAGCACTGTTCCACTTCTCTGCCTAGGCAGCTGGCACCCCCTACAGAGGGTAGGCCACCCAGGGAGGAGGGGAACTGCAGGACTGTAGGGGGGTTGGGGGAGTGGCCTTGACCACTCTCAGCAGACAGGAGCTGTGGATGGGGCAAAGGAGGGTGTTGAATCCTGCTTGGACTGGAGGCTTCCATCCAGAGAATGAGCTGCTGGCCCCAACGCAAAGGGCACCTTCTCTGTGGCTGAGAACTCTGGCCTGAGTTGAAAAGCCTTTAATTGGGTTCTGACTTATCAATTCCCGGAGAGCATAGTCATCAATCCTCCCAGTGGACAGCCCAGCTGTAAGCCCAGCCTTGGACAGCAGGCCCAGGCTGGCCCAGGCCCAGTGGGTCCGGGGCAATTGGCTGCCCTCCGGCCACAAGCACCACCGGCCCTCGGAGCATCCCAGGCTACTTGAACTCACAGGGATCAAGCCAGGAGTGAAAGCTCTGCATTTCCCAGGGAACCCACCCTGCTGAAATCAGACAGCCCTGTGTTCTAGACCTTCACCAGCTGGGAACACCATGTAGCCCCTCTGAGTGGGAGTTCCTCATCTGTGAAATGCTAAAACTCCTGGAAGGGTTGTGAAGATGGCTGAGATCATCCTCTCAAGCCCACCCCATGTGCTCCATGCATGTGAATCCCCTTCTTGCATTTCTTTTCTTTTTCCTCTCTGATTTTTCGCTTTCCTTGTCTCTTTGACCTTTTTGCAGCTCTAAATATCTCTTCAGCACTTTCTTCAGACTGGTTGCTTTTCTCCTTCCACAAGTCAAACAGCAGAGTTGGGGAGGTTGTTGGAAAATCCTCGTAATTCAGATCATGGGAACCCTGTGCTCACAGGCCTGGCTGCACTGGGCCCAGCCTGGGCTCCCAGCTCCTGAGCCGATCCTGGTGCTGACCTCAGCTTCTCTTTCTCTTCTCCCTCCTTCTGAAGGCTTCTGCCTGGCTCAAAACAAAACAAGAGAGAAGTCAGGAGAGAGCAGGGTGAGCTGGGGAGCAGGTGGTAACCCTCCTTAAACAAAGGTCAATGGAGGGTACAGAAAGTAAACCTGACAAAACCCCCTTAAGTCGCAGAGTAATACAGAGCAAATCAGTCCATATGCTTCCCTCCCCATCACTCCCCTTCCTTGCCCCAAAAGGAAGTCCTTCCTCATATCTAACTTATACCCTTCCTGCTGCAATTCCTGCCTACGTCCTTTTGGTCCATGTGGATAATGCTATCCTCATCATCCCTCCACAGTCACCTCCTCAATAGGCCTTCTCCTCAATTCTGTTCAGCTCAGAGGCCCAAGGGAGTGAAAGCGAACTTTAAGAGGATGTTTAAAGTTTGGCTTCTCATCACCACATCTCAGCTGAGTCCATAAAACTGCCTTATAAAGCCCACTGGCCAGCCAGCTGCCCTCAGCCTCAGGGGCCTCCCTGTTTTATAATTGGCCCCAATTCAGACACCAGCTGGATGTAAGAACTTGCTGGCTTTTATGAAGAGATGTTAACGAGGTGCATCTCTTCCCTTCTGTCTTGTTCCCAGAGTCTCCACTCTTCCCTCATTCATGTGTTCCTTCAGTCACTAACCATTGACCAAGAGCCTCCTGGAGCCAGGTTCCGGGTTAGGCCCTGGCAGGGGGGGGAGGGTGTCACAGGTAAGAGCTGGGGTGAGGATGGTTCTACTTTGGAAGGACTGCCCCTGCAGGGACTAACACCTGGGTGGCACCTCACAGTAGCTACAGTAGCTGGATCACACTACACTGTCGGTGTTTGTAAACTGCACAGTAATTGTGAAACCATGTTGGAATAACAAACAATTACAGAGCAGTCCGATAAGAGCTGCCATGAGGTGTGTTCAGAGAGCCGGAAAGTCTGGCGAAGGAGACTCCAGCACTGCTCAGATCTGGGAAGTCTTTCCAGAGGAGGTGCCCTTTGAGCTGCTGCCTGGAGGATGCTTAAGAGTTTTCAAAACAGGCAAGATGAAGCAGGTGGAGGAAGAGATAGCAAAGGTCAGGCTCTCCTTTGCTAAGGACTGGGAGTGAGAGCTGGGACCCTGGCAAAAAGCCACTGGAGCAACACAGGGTCAAGTCTCTCCAGGGCTCAGCCTCTCTTTCTGTGAAATGGATATAGTGTGGGCTAGGTAAAAGCAAAAACGGAAGTAATAATAGCTAGCATATGTATATAGTCTTTCATCACTTCTACCTCCTTTCCTATGATTACCTCCCTCAGTCCTTCCAATAATCCTGTGAAGTAGGTAGGGCCGGTATTTTAGTATCCATCTTGCAGATGGAGAAACTGTTTTAGAGAAGTGCAATGACTTGTGGCTGGAGGCACAGCTAGCAAGTGGCAAATATGGATCTTGTATGCTAAAGCCAGGGCTCTTTCTGCTGGGATGACTTGGAGCTGCTTGGTGAAGTGCTGAGGGAGGAAGTCAAGCAAGCAGTGCGGAGGGAGGGGCATGGGGAAATAAAAGCGCTCCCTCTCAGCAGGGTCTGTTATGGTGTCTGCCTCCCACTTGCCTCAGAGCCACGCCTAATTCCCTGGATGAAGGCTAAAGGCAGGGGAGAGGACATAAGCAGGTCGGCTCAGATTTTTCTTGGAGCAGAGGAAGGCAAAGGAGGACCCCCCTGAAGGTGGGCTCACCTGGGAAGGGTCCAAAGCAGAATCACATTTATAGGGGTCTTGACAAAGGAAGGGATTTAGGGAGGAAAGGCACTGAGGGTCAATCATGAGCCCCCAGGACAACCACTGCCCTTAGGTGGGGGTGTTAGGGGACTGAGTGCCCATTCTGGCTTACAGGTGCTGGGGGGCAGGATGCCCTTGTCCCCGCCCACCGCCCATCCCTCATGGTGAACTGCAAGGGGCCAGTCCAAGTCTCAGATTCCTATGTGAAGTCCCAGGAAGAGGGAGAGAATCTGAACCCTTGACACAGCTCCGTATTCAGGTGCTCAGAATGGAGGGGGTGGAGGGAACGGGGACCACACACACAGCACACTCAGGCAAGCAGCATCACAGCATCCCAAACACATACACGCACTCATAGACAAGCAACGGCCATGCCTCATACCTGTCATCTAGACCCCGACACACACGCAGCCTCTCTCTTCCCACCCTGAACACCTGAACACACACACACACCCAAGACCCTCTTATACACACCCCAACACACAGCTTTCAGTCCTTACCACACCCATACAAGCCCATTCATACTCACACACAAGTATGAACAAAGCACAGGATGACTTAGAGTTTACAAACTGCTTATGCACACAGCAAGCACAACACCCCCAGATCCACAACTGTATCCAAGCTTGCACACTCAGGTGTATGAATATGTATGGAAAGAATGTTCACACACACAGCCCAGGGGCCTGAGGTAAGGAACGGACCCAGGGAGCTCTGGAGCCTGAGCTTAGGTGCCCGGGCAAGAGTTCCCCAGCCTGGCTTCCTTCAAGCTTGTCATTCCCTCCTCCTCCCCTCCCCTCCCCTCTCACCAGGCAGATAAGAGTTACCCTAATTGGGACCAGGTCTCCCTCCCTATCTCCAACCAACCGCCCCTGCCACCCCACCTCCCGGCCCCTTCTTACAATTCCTCAAGGACCCATCAGGGTGCCAGGGACACACTAGGGTCTCTCTTAATATTACCCCCACCCTTGCCCTACCACCATGCAGAGACCCCTGAGCCAGAAAATGTGGAGTTAAGAATGGCTGCCTTGTCCCAGGGTCCCTTCTGGTGGTGGAAGTGTGTGTGTGTGGTGTGTGTGGGGGTGCCACCAGGGCCTCCCTCCTCAGACCTAGGACCCCCCAGGGTTCCCTCTGTGAATCAGGGTGGGCTGGGTGCCTGGTGAGGGGAGTGGCTGTATCCCCAATTGAAAGAGGTGGCAGCTCCTAGCCAACATTCTCTATGTTTCTTCAAACACACACACACACACACACACACACACACACACACACACACCCCTCCCCCACTGTAATTAGAATGGCCGCTCCAGCACCAGGGGAAGGCAGTGATTTATGAACGGGAGTTGGTGTAGAGAGATTCCAGCACCATCTGCTTGGGAGCAAACAGGAAGAGCTTCATGTGCTGCAGACTTGGGGGAGGGCGTTAGTTGGTGGAACAGGCTCATAAAAGCCATTCCTAATGGCCACAGGTGCTCCCACAACGTCCCAGCCCCCCAGGGGAGATCCACAGCCTCTGCAGGGTCCCAGGGGGGCACCCACACACCCCAAACCAAGGCCAGGCTGCCTGGAGGTGGAGCAGTGGAGAAAAGAGCCTGGACCTTCCAGCAGACCTGAGTGCAAATATCTACAGCTACTCACAGCGGGGCTTCAGTTTATTCATCAGTTTATTCGTGTAAAATGGGGATGATGAGAATAAACTACTAAAAAAGTTATAAACACTTACCACGTGCCTGATAAAATCAATTGTCTTAGCCCCATTTTACAGATAAGGACCCTGAGGCTGTGGAGGTTAAGAAAACTGTCCCAAGTTTACACTCGTGAGCTGAAGGGTCACGACTTGAACCTAGGTCAGCAGAGGACACTGCTCTAAAGCATTTTTTTCTTCACGCTGCTCCCTAACATACGGAAATTTGGGGGATTAAATGAGACAAATACTTCAAGTGCCTGGCATATGATAGGTGCTCAATATGCCTTGATTTTCTTCTTTCTGACTCCAGGAACCAGAAGATTCAAAGACAGTGGGGGGTGGAGGGTGGGGGGTAGAAATGGTGAGAGAGATACTGTGGTTAGTCCCTGGTGTCTTTGAACAATGTAGCAGCCTGGCCAGTCCTGAGTAGTTTAGAGTTATAATCTAATGTCACCTACAAAAAAAATGAGCCTTTTAATGACATGTCCAATTGCTACTGGGCTTCACAAGGATGAGTCTTTGGTTGAAAGCAGGGCTCGTAAATGACTGTCACTTGTATCACCATCATATGGCCAGTATGAGTTTAGTTTTTCTCTTCTTACTTTGTCAGTCCCCAGTGCATTTAACTGTATTTCCCCACAAGTGGTTATCAACTAGAAGTAAGATTCAGAACCACCTAAAAATCCAGACCCTGACCCTTCCTCTCCACCTGCCGTAGTCCCTGGGTGTGGCCTTTGTAATCTTGAAAGGTTCTCCGTGTGGTTCCCACCCCATCTCCCTGAGGATCCGCCGGCCTTTGGTTTGCAAGTCCTAGCCCTTCAGATCAGAAATGTTGAGTTCGTTGACACGAAGGCCAGAATGCAGGCTCTTCCCCTTAGGGGCCATGTCTTATTTGCCCCCAGAGTTCCTTCAGAGCTCTTGTCTTCAAGAATGACATCATAGAAAACACAAACCCTTAGCAACCAACATTAAGACTGATGGAAATAAATGCCAAATGTACCAAAGAATCTTGCTATCAAAGTAATTGATACTGAGAAAGGGAGATCCGAAAGGAGGTGACACCTCCTTGGCTGAGCCTTGAAGGCTGAGCGGGATTTTGATAGCAGGTGAAGGGGGTGGATATTTCAGACGGAGTGAGCCCTCATGATACTAGACGCCATCATGCCTTAGCTCATGCTCTAACACTCGGCATCTCTTTGTATTGGCTTAATTTTCCATGTGGCAGTTGAAGGGTAGAAAGCTCTGCATGTCTCAGGGAGATAGGGAAGGGGCAGGAAGGCCAGCGGACAGTGTGGCTAGGCCCAGAGCAGCCCATGCTTTCACTAGTCCAAGCTGCAGACCAGGCCTCTTCGTCCTGTACCCATGGCCCATTTCTCAGAATGTCCCGGGTCCACAATATGTAGGGGCCACATCCACTCACAGAGTAGTCTTGCTCTAGGATCTTGAGGGGAGAAAAGCATTTATTGGTGGTGTGCATACTCAAGCGTTATGCAGAGTCTTTCAGACTCAAAGAACAATGAAGGCCTAGAAGAGCGTGGCCAGGGAGCACCTGGCCAGCCTAGAGGGGAGTCAGCCTTCTCTCACCTTC